ATGTAGAGATAAGTGTGTCTTGTTTGCCAAAATTTATGTGTATTGATTGTGTGTGTGTGTGTGTGTGTGTGTGTATAAAGGTATATATGTATATATGTATATATATATATATATATATATATATATATATATATATATATATATATATATATATATATAATGTATATGTATGTATACAAATATTTATATATGATATATGTAAAACATATGTATATATATGTATGTATGTATGTACGCATTTGTACGTGCATACGCGTGTGAGTTTTCTTTCTGCTTTATCTAGATGTCTCTAACTATTTTTTTGTGTTGACTATTTCTTTCTTTTGGACCAGTTCCGTTAACAGTGCTTGGTAGTTTTAACGGTAACGAAGGTCTAGTCCTTTTTTATCAAGACCTTTTGCTAAAACACACGTCTTATCCATTTAATGCTTGATATATTGTCTTCTTTTTTCTTTTTCTTCTTAGTCTTAGTCTTAATTCTCCTCCTCGTCTCTCTCGTCTTCCTTTCTTTTCTTCTCCCATTTCTTCTAATTTTCTTCTCATTCTACTTTTTATTAGTATTATCATCACTATTCATCTCGTATTATCCCTTCTTCCACTTTCTCTCTTTCTTTCTTCTTTCCATTTTCTCTTTCTTTTTCCTGTATTTCTGATCATCCTTCACTTTCTTTCACATTTTCTCCTATCGCTTTTCTTTCTTTTTCTTTTTTTCTTTCTTTCATCTTTCATTTCTTTCTCTCTCACCTTTCCTCTTGTCTCCTTATTTTTTCCTTTTTATTTCTTTCTCCCATTTTTTCTCTCCTTCCCTCTTTTCTCCTTATTTTTTCGTTTTCTTTCTTTGTCCCATATTTTTTCTCTTCGTTTTCTTTCTTTCTCCCTTATTTTTTCTCTCCGCTAGTTGCTCCCTATTTTTTTCTTTCATTCTTCCATCTTTCTCCCATATGTTTTCTCTCCTTCCCACTTTTCTCTTTTTTCTCTTCCTTTCCTTCTCCCGCATTTTTTCTATCCTTCCCTCTTTACTCCTTATTTCTTAAAAATCTTTTCCCCTCCTTAATATTTTTTCTCACTTTCTTTCATATATTTTTTTTTATATTCCTTTCATTCTTTTTCTTATTTTCTTCCTTCCAAGCAAGCTAATGGCGAGAGGGCAGTGAGTAGGCACACGGCGAGCGGGAGTGACGTAGCCCGGCCGCGGGTGTGTTCATTTAACGTCTTGGGCTCCTTTACAGTGTAGCAACAGGGCTCTTCTCACGCCAAGACGGGGGGGGGGGTCCTGGCGTTGCCTCCTGTGGGTGTGTGTTTTTTTTTTTATTTATTTGTTGTTTTTTCGTTTTTTTTCTTTTCCTTATTTTGTTCTGTTTTTTTTTTTTCTTTTTCTTTTTTCTTTCCCGTCTCTCCATCTGTGGCCTCCCCGACACAAATACTCCCACGCACATGCTTTGTCTTTTTCCTCTTTTATGTTCTTTTCTCTTCTCTTCTATTCCTCCCTCCCCTCCCCTCTCTCCCCGACCTATCCCCAACCTACGCACCCCATCCCCTCCCCCTCCCCTACACATCCTCCCCACCCCACCCCACCTATCCCCGCTCTAGCCCCTACCCCAATTCTACCCACCCTACTGCCCTGTACCTTCTCCCCCCACTACCACTACCCCTCCCTCTCCCCCCCACCCCTCCTCTCCCTCTCCCCCCCACCACCACCCCTCCCTCTCCCTCCTCCCCACCCCACCACCATCCCTCCCTCCCCCCCCCCCCACCCTCCCTCTCCCCCCACCACCACCACCCTCCCTCTCCCCCACCACCACCACTCCCCTTCTCCCCCCACCACCACCACCACTCCTCCCTCTCCATCTCTCCCTCCCTCTCCCTCACCCAAACTTAAGCCAGAATCTATTCCGCAAATGTGGGCTTGTCGTTAAGGAAAATGGGGGGTAGGGGTGTGGGAGGGGGTGTACAGTGGGGAGAGGTGGTAGTGGTGTGGGAGGGGATAATGGGACGGCGGGGGAGGGGTAGAAGGGGCTAGGGGTTAGGATTGGGGGTGGAGAGGGGAGGGGAGAGTGGGGTGGGATGTCGCTATGCAGCCCAAGGTATTCATTAACCTAGGCAGTGTGGATACAGGTATACGGTTCTCCTTGTAGAGTAGGTGTGTGTGTGTGTGTGTGTGTGTGTGTGTGTGTGTGTGTGTGTGTGTGTGTGTGTGTGTGTGTGTGTGTGTGTGTGAGAGAGAGAGAGAGAGAGAGAGAGAATCTGTGTCTGTGTTTCCGGTGAATTGTGAGGCTCCGAGTCGTGGGCTGTGGACAATTCGATCTGTTTTTATTATTATTATTATTCTCTCTCTCCTCCCTCCTCCCTCTCTCTCTCCCTGTCCCTATCGTCCCTTCTTCCCGTTCTCCCTCCCCCGCCCCATATTCCTCTGTAGGTGCGTGCGATTGCATATGTCCTGTCTAGATTGTGCTCTGATAAGCGTCGGTTTAATTGCACCTTTCTTCTCCCCGTCATTCGCTGATCTCCCTCGCCCTCGAGTGATGCTCAAGATGATAATGGTGACAAGAGGCGAGCAAATGCGTCGTTTGATGCCTTTCCAAAAATAGCCCAACGACTGGATGCGAAATAACCGCTCCAGCGTTGCGAAGCGTGTGCAACATCGACAGGGGGCGGCACCGTCATTGGTCCGCGGCGGATTCGGGCGGCCGCTGATTGGTCCGCGGCGTTCTTGGGAGCTTCCTGATTGGCTGCGGCGGAGGTGTGTCGGGGGGCGGCAGCACCTGATCAATGACATCACTACGGAGGGGAATTTTCCACCACCTCGTACTCCGCTCCTCCCTTCGGCGTCCATTCAGGGCGACCTCCCACGACCTTTTAAACGAAGCTGTTGTTTGCGGAAAAATAAGGCGCTCCTTCGACCACGGAAACCGGACGTCCTTATTTTCGCCTCCCTCTTCTCTTTCCCTGTATCGTTCTCTCCCTCTTTTCCTTTCGCTCTTCGTGCGCGCATCGTTTTCCCGAGCGCGCGGACGGACGGGAGGACGAACGAACGTTGATGATAAGACTTGAAAATCGGGGAGAAGAAAAGGAAAAGGAGTAGGAGGCGGAGGAGGATGCCTTGATGACGCACGTGGGGCGGTGTTGTGGCCCGAACGCCCGCTCGCTCGCCCGCTCCCTGGCAGGCTAGCGGGGAGACGCGGCTCGAGGTAGTGCCAGTGTGGGTGTTCCTCGTCAGGAGCCAAGGTTCCCGTCGGCGGTCGAGAGATCAGCACCGCGTCCTCCTCCTTTTCTCTCTCTTTTTATCTCTCTTCCGCACCCGACGTCATTCTGCCCCTGAGCGGCCTTCCCTCTCTCTCCCGCCGCGTTCCCCGCCCCACTTCCCCCCCGCGACGGTGGAGGGGCGCCAGCTTCGCCCCGCGTGTAGCATGAGACTCGAGTCGGACGTGGTAAAGCAGCCAACGATAAGATTGCCCAGGACAGTGTCGCGCGAGTGATAATAATCGGAGCATGACTCCCTTTTCACCTTCTCCTGCCCCTCCGCCCCCCCTTCTGCCCCCTACCCCTGCCCCTGTCTCCTCCCCCTCGCCCCTCGCCCCCCACTGGTGACCAAGCTTGTGAGGGGATGAATGAAAAGTACGAGCTCGCCGGATAAGCGGTCAGTCTCTCGTTCAGAGGCGCGGGAGAGAGAAGCGAGACAGGTGAGTGCAGGCCCACGAGAGAGAGAGTATGAGAAAAGTGAGACACTTTAAGTCTGTGGTATTAGTATTGTGATCACGCGTAGACGCCGCAACGAATCAAAATGTGATTTTTTTACACGAAAGTGCTTGCTCTTTTTATAGACGGTGATCTAGTGCTAGTAGCAAACAGCGGATTATCGGATAGGCTTTAATACCCGCTTTCCACAAGAATCGATCAAGTTTGAAGAAAATATTCTCTTTGCTTATGCCGTTGGTGAGGATTACGTTGTGTGTAACGATTCGCCCCGTGATGTGATTCGTATGCAAATTGGAAGTTTCTGTATTTGTTCGTCAGTGGACACGAGTGATTCTCATTGTCCTTGTTTATAGTTTTAGTTGTTGATATGTGATTTACGTTGGTGAAAATGGGGTTAATGGAAATTTATCCCTCGTTTGTTATTTTTGAAGTAGAGATGATATATGCAAATACTTTCATACGTTCACGTAATGCTTCGCCTAAAATGTATATCGTAAATTCTGGTGCAGTTTGATGTAACTCGTTCGTAAAGTAAAAATAAGTGCTGTGTTTTCATGCCACTTTACCTTTATTCAGTAAAATGGTAAAGAAAGAGACCGGAGATTAGCACCTCCACTAAAGATAGAGGCGAAGGGCATAGGGTACGTTGAAATGAAAGAAAATATCCTGGGAGATTTTGGAAGGAGTGTCTTGTGCGTCTTACGTATGTCACGATTGGTGTTTGTAAGTATTTTTGTGTTGGTGTAATCGTTGTTATGTGTGATTGTTCTGCCTGTGATAACAAATGGTTATTATCGTGTTATCGAATGGTATAGAGAGAAATTGTGTCAGCTTGTAGATGTTTCGAAACCATGTTTTGTTTTATTTATGTATTTACTGTTATTGCAATTACAGTATTTTTCATGTTTTTTTTCGTTCACTGTTAGTGAGATTACATACTTGTCTGTGCCTTGATAAGATAACTGTGATATCTACTGCATTGGTGCCACATGCCATAAAAATGAAATAAAAGTGATAATGAACAATTTCATTAATATGGTACTTACTACATGCCTTTTTTATATAGTTATTACTTAACCAAACTTGAATTGTGTTGGGGTTACAAATTCATAATTAAGAAGAAAACATTGGAAAAAGTTACCCAGCAAAGAGGATGACAGAAAGTCAACAGTGCCATTGATACAAGACATAATTGATAACTTTTTTTATTTTCCTTTTGTTTGTGTTATGTGAAAATCTTGTGAGTATTTTACACAATGTCTAACATTCTGTGTCTTTCTTTCTTTTTTTTTTTACGTTTCAAG